TCACAGCCAGGGTGTCTACAAAGTCAGTGAGGGTGAGGTCTGCGAGGTGAATCCTAAGGAAGCGGTCGCGGGTGACAGCAAGGCGGTCAGGGAGGCGGGTGGCAAGCAGGTAAAGGGTAGAGGCAATGGGCGGCTGGTGGGCTCTAAGCTGTGCGTCAGTGCAGGCAGCACGCCAGGTCTCATCTATCGAGCGCAGGTGGGCAGCGAGGTCAGAGACAGTGGGGAAAGACGCAAGGTCAGGAAAGAGCATCGGGAGGATCAGGCGACCCACCGAGGCAGCCGGAGGGGTGGAATAGCGCTTAATGACAGCATCTAAATAAGCTTGAGCAGTAGTGAGGGACCTAAAGCGAGGGCGCTCGGACGGGGGAAGGGCGTTGCTAATGGCAAGCTGAGTGACAGAATCTCGAGAAAGCCAGACAGAGCGCGCACGGGCAGTGGCAGCAGTAGACTCGCGCTCAGTGGGTGCGGAGTCAGCGGGCAGAACAGCAGGGGGGTCTGGGCAGGGGAGCGTACCGTCAAGGTGTGCGGAAAGCGGTTCACCATCCTGCCGCTGGCCAGTGAGTTGGCGCCGGAGGTCGGCAAGCCACGCCTCGAACTCCAGAGGCTGGCCTTCAGCGTCGAATCGAAGCTCTGCCGCCATCAGGGGCAGTGCAGGACTGTACAGTGCGGTACAGTGCGGTGCAGTGCAAAGCAGGGCAGTGCAGTGCGGTGCAGGGCGGTGCAAGGCAAGGCAGTGCGATGCAGGGCAGTGCAGTCCGGTGCAGGGCGGTGCAGTGCGATGCAGTGTAGTGCAGTGCGGTGGAGGGCGGTGCAGAGAGGGGGGGGGAACCGTACCAGTGAGGATGCAGGGGCCGGGGCAGGGCGCAACAGGGCCCGGAGAGCGCGACGAGGCCGAGCGGGCGCGACGGAGCCGCGCGGGGCGCAACGAGGCCGGGCGGGTGCGACGGGGCCGGGCGGGTGCGACGTGGACGGGCGGGTGCGACGGGGCCGGGCGGGCGCAACGGGGCCGGGCAGGGCGCAACGGGGCCGGGCGGGTGCAACGGGGCCGGGCGGGTGCGACGGGGCCGAGCGGGCGCAACGGGGCCGGGCAGGGCGCAACAGGGCCGGGCGGGTGCGACGGGGCCGGGCGGGCGCGACGGGGCCGGGCAGGGGGCGACGGGGCCTGCAGGCGTGACGGGGGCCAGGAGGGGCGCTACGGGGCCCAGGAGGGGCGCTACAGGGCGAGGGGCGTAGCGGGGCCCGGGAGGGTCGCGACAGGGCCCAGAGGGTCGCGACGGGGCTAAGGGGGTCGCGACAGGGCTAGGGGGTCGCGACGGGGCCCAGGAGGGGCGCTACAGGGCGAGGGGCGTAGCGAGGCCCGGGAGGGTCGCGACGGAGCTAGGGGCACGATGGGGCCCAGGGGGTCGCGACGGGGCTAGGGGGTCGCGACGGGGCCCAGGAGGGGCGCTGCAGAGCTAGGGGCACGACGGGGCCCAGAGGGGGGTCGTGACGGGGCTAGGGGGTCGCGACGGGGCCCAGGGGGTCGCGACGGGGCTAAGGGGGTCGCACGACGGGGCCCAGGGGGGAGGCGCGGCGGGGCCTAGCTAGGGGACGAGCGGAAGCGGTAGGTGGGGGATCCTAACCTACCTCTGATACCATATCAAAATGAGAGAAGTGAATGATAGATTAGAGGGAGAGTACAGATGGGTATACCTAAGTATTGTACCCTCTAAGAGGTGACCCTATACAGTCTATGCAAACATAACAGATACACATGTTTGACATGGTGGTGGTGGTGTGGTGTGGTGTCCAGGACAGTTTTATAATGAGCGCGCATGCAGCGGGGACAAATCGCGGCAATGCAATTGGCTGACCCGTTTCGTAACCTTGATCATAGACTTGAAACACATATAGGTATCCCATTTTAGCATCCTAGAGTTGTTCACTGTTGAAAGTACATCAAAAGACCTAAGCGTTTCTGAAGTGTAACACTACACTCGAGGAAGATTGCAAGGGGTACGCGAGTCAACGGAGGTTACACGAGGGGGCGGACAAAGAACACGAAGGGTTTGGGACTCAAAGGGTCGCAACTGGAGGTTGCGACTGACCGTTACAAACAGCACGGATGGTAACCGAAGCGACAATCGAGTCGCTGTACGACTCGATAAACCGCTACTGCAACTGTACCCTACAACTGTTTCTTATCTTCTATATATTGCTGTATGTTTGCCTTCTTATCAATCACTTGTTCTCATATACTAGTACAAGGGTTCAACTATCTCAACTTCCGCTGCACTACTCCAAGTCTCAATTCTTTACAGCTGGGACTTAGTCTCTGGAAAGATCCCAAGGGCTTTTCTCAGCCCAACATGGTATGAGAGCTGGTCAGAGACCAAACTCCCAGCAACTACGTTCTATCACCAACCTGCAACTCAACCCAATTCAACGACTTCATTGATTGCAAGACATGGACAGCAAGGGCAAGAAAGTCTCTACGGGCTCACCCAGCGGTCAAGAAACTCAACACGGCAACTCTGGTCTGCACACCTCAGGACTGCAGACAGAGACCGGGACTGCTCAAGAAACAACGGGAAGAGTACCAGAGATGGTTACTCCATCTCCCTCTTCAAGCGTGGACCCCAACCTTATGGAAAGGTTCTTCAGCTTCATGTCGCACTTCGACCAGCAGCAGCAGACAAGGACACCTGCGCATTCAACACAGAGCAATGGAGGAAACATGGGATTAGCGCCGATGAGCCTCGACAACTCATCCTTCGGGCGACACAACCAAGCGCCTACCTTTGCGCCTTATCATTCTTCACCGAGGACGTTCGAGTTCATGCCGCCCCGCGCCCAACCAACAGCAGCTGCATCACAACAAACACCAAACGAGATTCTCAGTCTTCAGGCTCAATTCTCACACGTTATTAAGTTACAAACATCCTCACCGTTCAACGGACACGACTTCTTTACCTGGAGCTTCGAGTTCGAGCTGCTGATGGAGGCCGCGCATCTTCTGGGATACTTCAACGGGTCCCTGCCATTTCCAAGCAACGGCACTGGAAAAGAGCAAGAGATTTTCACGTATCAGTCGCTGCTGGCGTATACAGTCCTCCTGCGGAACCTGTCACCACAAGAACAGCAGAGCATCAGAACATATCGGAGTTATGGGAACTCCGCGGAACTCGCATGGCATCATCTCAAGTGCCTTTATCAAGCAAACAACAGCGTGACGCAAAGCAGACTCATGCAACAACTGACAACAATACAGATGAAGACCGGGGAAAAGGCAATGCAATATATGAGTCGATGCCAGACTCTCCGCGACCGCCTGCTTCGGTGCGGAGGAACAATCACTGAAGAAAGCTTCGTGACACTTGTCCTCGCCGGGCTCGGGCCAGAATGGAGAACCACACGATCACTTCTTCGCGCCCACGGAAGAATTTCGGAGATGCACCTCTGCGCCGAGCTTCACGCTGAACAACAGGAGATGGACCTGTTCGAAGAAAGGCAACCAAGGAAGCAGCAGCAGTTAGTCTTCTACACTCAACGAAGAAACGACAACACCTACAATCAACGCAGCAAGCAAGAGCGCGACAACAGAGGGACTACCTTTGTGCCGCCGTTCTGCCACAACTGTCAGACTTCCGGGCACTCCAAGGTCAACTGCAACCGCCCTCGCGTTTACCGTCCAGCAGACCCACAAGTCGCTTCAACCCAAGCAAATCCCCCAAGGCGCTCTTCAACATCTGCACAACAGACACCAAACATTATCAATTGCATGGTACAAATCGACAACTGCGCACCCGGCTCACCACCCACTTACGCGCCAGACGAAGAAGAGCTCCCGCCACCACGCTCACAAGGACTTCAAGTTAATCCGACGTACGCTGCGATCGCCAACGCCGAACCAACCGGGCGAAACACCTGGTTCCTGGACAGCTGCTGCGGTCAACACATGTGCTCCTCGGGACGCTTTGTGCAACAGGAGAAACGGCTCAACCGCGACGTCGTCATCACCGTCGCCAACAACGAAAACCTGAAAACAAACAGACAAGGCGTGGTTCAGTTACAATCCATGGAGACAAACGTAATACTTCAGCTCAACAAAGTACTCATCGTCGACAACTTGGGATACAACCTACTAAGCGTAAGCCAACTAATGGCCAAGGGGATTCACCTGGAGTGCGACTCCTTCTCCAACGAGTTCCGGCTTTACCACGGGAAGGGCGGCCTCTTCATAGGTCGTGCCCTCCTGAAGTCCGGTGTCTTCGTGTTGGACTTCGTCCCCGACCGCGGTACTGCCGACAGCGACGGCATCGTATCGTTCGCCACCTGGACACACCCGCCGGATCTTGATCCCGACTTCGACAGTGACGGCTTCTGGCACTCCAACACCATACCTGCAGCAGAAAGAACACGAGCATTAGCAGTTATCAGACAAGAACGACAAGTACCAACAAGCGTCCAGTCCCAACCATCACCTGCAGTAGCAGCAGCAGGACCAAGTCGAGTACCACCACCGGCAGTCCGAGGACCGCCAACCGAAGCAGATCAACTTATGCCCATCACACGAGAAGTCTGTCGAAGTCCCGCCACAGTCGTCGCATTCTTCTCCAACGCCGACATATACCACCGCTCACCCGGCCATCGCGCTCCCGACGACATCTGGCACCAACGCCTCGGGCACCCTGCAAATAGCACAATACTAAAAACCATCCAAGCCGAAGTGTTAGAACGCAACGCCCTCCTAACAACGAACGGCCAAGAACTTCGACGACCTCGCGCACGGTGCTTCACGTGCCCCGAAGCAGATCTTCCTCATCAACCCTTCCCATCACATCATAATCCAAGCGCGCCTGCATATGCAACGATGGAAAAAGTCTACAGCGACATCTTGAACATGCCTCGAGACGACACGGAAGCCGACTTCAACTACGTCATCACCTTCGTCGATGCAGCAACAAGATACACTTGGCATTACAACCTCAAGACGCGCGATCAAGCCTTCGACGCCTTCACAACATGGCTCCCCATCGCCGAACGGGAATCAGGAACCAAGCTAAAAAGTTTCCAGTCAGACGGCGCACTGGAATACCAGTCACGACGCTTCAAGACCTATCTGGCGGAAAGAGGAATCAGGCGCCTGGTGTCCCTACCATACGCTCACCAGCAGCAGGGGGTCGCAGAACGCATGAACCGGACCTTGCAGACGACGATGCGAAAGCTGCTCCTGGGAATGAAACTGCCCAACACACTGTGGCCAGACGCGATGACACATACAGTCCACCTGCACAACCTGTTGTCCTCGTCATCGCTCCCCAACAACGCATCACCACACCTGCTGTGGACGGGAAAAAGGGGCAGCACAAAATTACTTCGAGTTTTCGGCTGCATGGTACAATACAGACCCCACACAGCTCGAGCAGGACGCTTCACTCAACGAGCTCGGTGGGGACTACACCTCGGCATTGCCAAACATTTTCACGCGTGGAAGATTCTCGACATACAAGACAAAAATACGGTGGCATCACGTGATGTTATCTTCTACGAGCGACTGACGCTGCAGCAATACCTGGACAACATTGCCAACTCAGACGACCCCACCGACGGCTTCGCGGGCCTTCGCTCCTTCGCTGACCATGCTGCCGAGGCTGACGCAGCAGAATAAGACGTCCCTGGAGCCTCGGAGGCTGCCGGACCACTCCCCTACTGCTCCGTACCTGTTCCACTCGATGAAGATAATCCCCTCGATAGCAACAACCTCGACACCTTTTACCACTTCGCTGACCAAGGCTACGCTACACCACACCCCGTCGACTCGAATATTTCCGAACGCATCGGGCCAAACTTCTTACCCGATCCTGAAGACGGTGATGAAGCAGCTTATCCCGGGAATGAAAATTCCCCTCGACACACAGCCACGGGACTGCAGATCCTAGGACTATGGGTCTCCGTCCAGCACCCGCCGCCGCCTTCTCCGCGCGAGCCATCGACCCTGTCGCAGGCTCTGGGGGGGGAACATAAGGCGGAATGGAAGGAAGCAATGGAAAAAGAGTTAAAAGCCCTCCAAGACCGGAATACATGGAAGTTAGTACCAACAACCAACACCAACGGGAGGAACATTCTCTCGGGGAAATGGGTGTACCGCATTAAGACCAACGCAGACGGCTCCATCGAACGTTTTAAAGCGCGATGGGTCGTACGAGGCTTCGACCAACGATACGGAACCGACTACACAGAAACCTTCGCCCCAGTCTCCCGTCACACCTCCCTGCGCATCCTACTCGCCGTCGCGGCCACGAAGAAACTACCACTACGGCAAATCGACGTCGCAAACGCCTTCTTGTACGCACCTGTGGACGCCGAAATCTTCGTCGAACAACCCCACGGATTCATCGACGACCCTTCAAAAGTATGCTAGCTGGAAAAATCCCTTTACGGGATCAAGCAAGCCCCACGGCTCTGGCAGCAGCACCTTCACGGCCGGGTCGTAAAAATCGGATTCCTACAGTTACCACATGACCAAGGCATGTACCGACTGCAGAAGGGAAGAGATTACATTCTGCTCATAGTCTACGTCGACGACCTGCTCTACATCGGTTCTACCACCAACATCGTCACCTGGTTCGAAGGGGAGCTGAAAGGGGACCTGACGCTCACGGTGTCCGACTCAGTGACCCAGTACTTGGGACTAAATGTCGTCGAAGACAACTCGGCGTTCTACCTACACGCTGGAAAGTACGCAGGCACTGTCGCGAAGAAATTCGGACTGACGCCGACTACGGTCCCGACTCCCTACCGCTACGGAAACAACAACAGCGCCTCCGCAAAACTCCCCGCGAAGCAAATCCAGGAGTATCAACAGAAACTCGGTTGCCTACTATTCGCAGCAGTCACCTGCCGACCCGACCTGTCCTATAGTGCGAGTCAACTAGCGACGCATCTGAAGCAACCGGAACAGGAAGATCTCGAGGAACTCAACCGGGCACTACTCTACTTCGTCTCCACGCCGACGATCGGACTTACCTACAGCAAAGCGACAACACCGTCCGTACAACTACTCGGATACGTCGACGCCGACCACGCGGGAGACAGGGAAAATCGACGATCTAAAACGGGCTACATCTACCGACTAGAACCCATCGGAACTATCTCCTGGCAGTCGAGCAAGCAGGAGTTAATCGCACTATCCTCGGCTGAAGCAGAGTACATCGCCCTTTGTACTGCGACCAAGGAAGGACTCTACCTGCGAGAGTTACTCGAGGAAGCGAAGATCACGACCCTGCCCACCTTCTCACTCTTCTGCGACAACCAATCTGCGATCAAAATCGCAAACAAGGACGGCTTCGCCAACCGAACCAAACACATCGCCCTGCGGTACTTCTTCGTCAAAGATGAAATCGCGAAGGGGAGACTTCAACTCAGTTACTGCCCGACGACAGAAATGGCCGCAGACTATTTGACGAAGAAATTGGCGAAAGTAAAATTCGACTACTGCATGTTGCTGACCGGACAAACAAACGTCATCGGACCTGAACAAGTCAGCACTCCAGAAACGAAGGGGAGTGTTGAAAGTACATCAAAAGACCTAAGCGTTTCTGAAGTGTAACACTACACTCGAGGAAGATTGCAAGGGGTACGCGAGTCAACGGAGGTTACACGAGGGGGCGGACAAAGAACACGAAGGGTTTGGGACTCAAAGGGTCGCAACTGGAGGTTGCGACTGACCGTTACAAACAGCACGGATGGTAACCGAAGCGACAATCGAGTCGCTGTACGACTCGATAAACCGCTACTGCAACTGTACCCTACAACTGTTTCTTATCTTCTATATATTGCTGTATGTTTGCCTTCTTATCAATCACTTGTTCTCATATACTAGTACAAGGGTTCAACTATCTCAACTTCCGCTGCACTACTCCAAGTCTCAATTCTTTACAGCTGGGACTTAGTCTCTGGAAAGATCCCAAGGGCTTTTCTCAGCCCAACATTCACTTTATCTCACCCCTACAAATCAATCAATCGGTATCATGGGTGTTCTCGTTTACATAACAGTCATTTCCATCAAGGGTAAGGACGATCTATCGTATATCTGAAATGCATCTCAGAACAATGAGGGGGGTTGGGATTCAGTGGGGCAGAAGGGAAAGTACCACTGCTGCTGGGGCAGTTGCAGAAACAGGGCGAGAGTTAGGGGAGCAGTGGCTAATGTGAGGGAGGAGTGGGGGTTGGGATAGTTAGTGAGGCATGTGTATGAGTTGGCCCTGTAGTCATGGGAGAGGAGAGATGGGGCCATGCGAGCAAAAGCTGAGAAGGATGCGCTCAGATGGAGAAGCAGGATTTGGGTGAGGTGGCGGGTGGAGGAAAGAAAGTGGAAGATGAAACTTTCGAGGAAAACTTTCGTCTGTTAGAAACCAGAGGAGGGAGATTTGCAGGACATTGCGGGAGGGGGGTGTGCCATGGGGGGAGGTATGTAAAGCACGCTGAGGGTTTGAGGTTTAGGAAGATAGTAGGTGATTGTTTGGGGGAAACTGCAACGTAAAAAGAGAATTTAATTGCCATATTTTGCCCGAGGGTGACAATTAAAGGTAATTGCCAGAAAAACCATATATACAATTGCAAGCGACTTGCAAGATGTTGGAAACTATCACAAGAAAGCCAAGCTAGACCGACACACAGATGCCTATGTCACTGGAATTTGTGCTTGCTTCAGAAATGTCTCTGTCACCAGCACCCACAGGTGAAATCCGTTCATCAGACCCTTGATCCGTCACTCACCTACACTTGATCCTCGTTATTGTCACGTGAACTGGAACTGATCAGGATGCTGCCGCTATCCCAGCTCTGCACCACCGCAGTTTTCAGGGACATGCCATGTTCCATATCCTGCTCCATATCCTGCCGCATATCATATCCTGCTCCATATCCTGCCGCATATCATATCCTGCTCCATATCCTGCCGCATATCATATCCTGCTCCATATCCTGCCGCATATCATATCCTGCTCCATATCCTGCCGCATATCATATCCTGCTCCATATCCTGCCTCGTATCATATCCTGCTCCATGCCCTGCTCCATACCCTGCTCCATACCCTGCTGCTACTTAACGGCTCAAGCTTCAGGGCAGTCCTGCTGCAGCTCCATATCCTGCCCCACTCGGGCATCAAGAGGAGGGTTCAGGCACCAAGAAGCTAACCTGAAACCGTCAGCCCTAATCAGCATTCACGAGCGCTCATTAGCACTCCATTCTGACGCACACGTCATGCGCTCTCCTGAACCCCCGTCCTTCTACCCTCAACTCCCCTTTCCCTCTCTACCCCTCCTGCTCTTTCGATCCCGAATCAGCACTGATCAGCACAAATCAGCACAAATCAGCATTCTATTCTGACGCACACGTCATGCTCCCCGCTGCCCTCCCCTCCTTTCAATCTCAACTCCTCCTGCTCTCTCAACCCCGAATCCTCCTCATCTACCAACCCTAGAAACCGCCTCAGCTCCTCTAATCTCCTCGACTCACCCACGCACATCGTGGTGCCGTTCTCCTCTCCTGTCAACTCAATCTCCGCCCAAGTTTCGCTGATCTCCCGCGCTCCCTCCTGACCCCCCTCCCTTCGCAATTGCCTTCTATCCTCTTCCGCCGTTCGTCCTCTTTGCGCAACTACTCCTGCTGCTGACACCACTGATGCTGCTACTGCCGCTGCTGCTGATGGTGCTGCTGATACTGCTGCTGCTGCTGCTGATGCTGGTGGTGCTGGTGTTGGTGCTGCTGCTGGTGCGTTTTCTTGGTCCATCACAGGTGTCTCAACAATTTCAACTTGGATGCTGACGTCATCCGACATTGTCGCACTAGCTGTCGCCGACGCGTCTGGAATTGTCGCCGACGGTTCCACCTCATCGCCAGCTGTCCCTGAAGCGCCCGAATCTGTCGCTCCGCCCGAAGAATCCGCCTCTTTGTTCGCGGGTTTCGCGGGTTTTAAGTTGAATCGGCAAATAGGACACGTGGTATGCGCGCAGAACCATACGTCTATACACGTGGCATGAAATCTGTGTCCGCAGGACGGCAGCGTCTTAATACACTCCCCCTCCTCATATTCCCCCAGGCACACCGCGCACTCGCGAAAGCTCTCGCAGCAACCTTCGCGAAGCTTTTCGCGGGAGAAAGTAACTGTCGGCAGCGCCTGAACGGTCTCGGGATCGAGCCCTAGCGACTGCGTTTTCTGCATCGCGCTGAGTTGCGTTCGACGGAGCATGTACTCTTCTGGGGTGATGGCGTGATGGTTCGGTGCGTCACGACCGTTTAGCACCATGAGACACGCGCGGAATAGCATAACGAAGAAGAAGAGGAAGATGAAGATTATAACGAATACGGAGAGGACGACACTAACGGGGGTGGATGCCAAGCCCGCGGCTCCGGCAGCCGCGGACTGGTTCTGTGCTCCTGCTCCCATCGCGGCCGGAGTAGACATTTTGTGACTAACTCGGAGTTAGTTTCAACAGATTCTAAAATCAGCGAACATGAGATGGAAGCGATGCGGCTGGGATTTGCTAACGCCTAGGTTACGGAGAATGAAAGGCCAGGTCTTGAGGAACACGAATGACACCGAAGCAAATCAGCGTGTGTGGACCTTTGCGATACCTGGAACTATGGCCGCGAGCTATGGCCGCGAGCTATCTACTTATCGAAATTCTGGTCAAGGTGCGTTCTAGAATGTTGCGAAATAAAATGGCAAGCTACGTTCTGGTTGAAGGGTGGGTGGGAGGGAGCATTTGACTAAAGGTGCTCGAGCCAAGATTCCTGGCTTCCGCCTGCTGGCAAGTTGCCAGAGAGGAAGGAGCCAGAAAGAAAGAAAGCTGAAGAAAAGAAACCTCCGTGCCTCACCTCACACCACCGAGCTCAACAAGATCGCGCCGAAGCCCACCAACTTCCCGCTGGTCAGGCCTTGTTTTACGAGCTGCATTTGGGCTCGGTTGCATTCGAGACGCGAACGCTCTCAACAGTAATTCCTCCGAAGTGTCAAGGAATGAGTTCTAAAATAGAAATAACACAAGCAATCAGATGCCTCATAACAGGGCTAAGCACAACGGAAAACGTTTTCCTAAGCACGCGTTGTGGGAACTGGTGAATCTAAGTGGAACACGTCCTCGATCCTCGTGGCGCAAGCAGGTGCCCGGAAGCACAACAACCCAGCCAACGGCAATTGCGAAACTCTAACGAAGAACATGCGATTATGGCGAGCACGTGCGAAGCATAGAGCAGTTACTGATGATCGCCCAACGACATCCATCAGGCCGAAAGCAGCCAGCTGTGCGACGGATGGCGGTGTGTGGGACTCTCAACTCAACAGCCAGGTGCGAGCGACCACGGTTCCGCGGGGAAGAAGCTTCCTTCCTACGCGCATGTGGGTGGGACTCGGCTGCCCCTAACCAGGATGCACACCGTGCCGATGACGTGTGGATGGCCAGCTGTTCTCACTCCACCAGTAGGATGCTCTGGAATGGGTCCGTGCAAAACTATCATGCCGCGTTGACGTCAATTAAGCCGCTTTCCGCGTGGACTCACATGATCAGGGGGCACTGTATAAGCCACCTTGCTAGCGTTATCAGGGAAGAGGCAGCAACCTGGGGAGTGACAGCGGGAGACCAACAGCAACTCCCCCACGTCGAAGCCAGCGGGATTGACGTCAGCTGTCGAGACCAAGATTGACAGCCTGCGATTGGCTTGAAGGCTTTGAACGAAAACACCTGACATTGCGCTGTTCTGAACGAAGAACTCTGAATTTAGTCATAACATTAGCACGCTTTTTATAAACAATGCAAACACGAGCTTCCCATATGCATATGCACCTTATGGACTTTCACACACACTTCTACGTATACAAAATACTTTCCACGCCATTAAAACAAAGGCCAGCACCTCGAGAAAAAATCCTGCTATCATTCAAGCATAGGGGTACTGCCAGTACAAGCCCAACATGCAGATTTGGAGCAATGCCGAGCTGCGATACAAGACACCAGGTTAAGCGTGATGCTGAAAGATAATGAAAATTATGGTGGCATGATGATGTGCATGAGGGAAAGATCATGGCGGCCTCAGCTGATCTGAGCACCATGACCATAATGGTCAATAAAAAAGAACAGGGAAACACGGTGGTGGTTGCCAATAGGAATATCGATGATAAAGCAAGCATAATGTAAAACATGCAGAGCTACTGATGGTCATGTCAATCGATGGTGGTGTCCATCGCTGGTGATGTCAGTTGATGGCAATGTCGACTGCTGGTGATGTCAATTGATGGTGATGTCAATCGATGGTGATGTCAATTGTGTTGAGTGACCCGCTGGGGTTGCCCTTAAGATCCTCGGGGAAGGGCCACAGGTGCAGAGTCTGGGGGGCTATGGGCGCACTTACCCGCTATTCAACAAACCCTTTTAACCCAGTGGTTAGTGACTGGGTTTCTGACAAATTGATGGTGATGTCGATTCATGGTGATGTCAATTGATGGTGATGTCAGTTTATGGCTAAGTTGGAATATACACGCATATCACGTTTTATACGAAAGCGTTTATACGAGAGCGTATAAGCGCAATACGCTCAGGAGGAGGGGGTCGAGCAGGTGGAAGTACCGGTTGCCTCAACAGATGGGGGAGAGAGAGGGTGATGCTGTAGGGCTGGAAGTCATGGTGGTGCACAAGCTACGGTAGAAAGGGAACTGCGAGAATGAGTATCGTATGTTGAAATGGCAGTAATTTACTGACTCTGTTTGAGGCCAACTCGTCTCAAGGAAAAGTTGGGAGAGATTGGGAAGTGACAAGGTGGAGAGGGGTGGACAGAGGTTCGAAGGGGGGGTTGGTGGGGTTAAGGTTCGAAATTTGTACTCGAAGTTGAGTCCGCGTGATGTGCTAAGGCGATAATTTTTTTCGCCAAGTCGCAAAATGTCACCTTTTTTTTTTCCGGTCAGCCCGTGCGTATTTCGGCGTATCTAGACCAAAAACGCAGCGTATGTATTTTCGATGCATTTAAAAGCAACACGCAATCAAAAGTGAGCGTTATTTCCAACTTAGGTTGATGGTGATGTCAATTGATGGTGATGTCCATTGATGGTGATGTCCATTGATGGTGATGTCAATTGATGGTGATGTCCATTGATGGTGATGTCGATTGATGGTGATGTCAATTCATGGTGATGTCCATTGATGGTGATGTCAATTGATGGTGATGTCCATTGATGGTGATGTCCATTGATGGTGATGTCAATTGATGGTGATGTCCATTGATGGTGATGTCAATTGATGGTGATGTCAATTGATGGTGATGTCCATTGATGGTGATGTCAATTGATGGTGATGTCCATTGTATTAGAATTGGAATTGAATAATGGTAAAGTGAGAGTACACACAAATATACCTAAGTGTTGTACCCTCTAAGAGGCAACCCTATACAGTCTAAACAAACATGACAAATACAGATGTTTGACACACCCCCTAGACTGCATACGGGAATACCCTAAACAAGCAGCTCAGGGCGGCACTACTAGTCCAACCTCTGAGACAAGGGTCTGAGAGACCAGTCAGAAGGAGTACAGACAAGGCAAGAACAAGACCAGGGTGGCACTACTAGTCCAGCCACTGGGAGAGGACACAAGTCCAGTCTGAGTATACATATAAAGGACAGTACAAGTCAAGGTCCTAGCAAGTGAGAAGCGACAGGAACTAGACCAAGCTGTACACAGTGCCGCTGATGATCTTTAGGCGCAAGCGCCTTCGTAAAGATATCAGCTGTGTTGGCACCTGAGGCCAAGTGTACTACGCGAGCCTGACGTCGCTGCTGTAGCTCACGCAGGAGGAAGTACCGCAGCTGAATGTGCTTCGCTCTGCCCTCGAGTCGAGGCTCCTGACACAGGAGGATCATGGCCCTGTTGTCAGCGAACAGGACCGGGGCAGAGCTAGGCCGCTCACCTAAGTCAGTGAGCAAGAAGGTCAGCCAGCGGAGCTCCTGTGCCGCCATGGCACCAGCGTAGATCTCAGCCTCACAGCTGGATTGCGCAACAGACGAGGAGCGGGTAGCTCTCCACGAGACGGCACCTGAGCCAAGGCTGAAGCAGTAGCCCTGGGTAGACCTGAGTGTCTCAGCGTCGTCTGCCCACGAAGCGTCTGTGTGTCCAGTAAGGACCACTGGCCTGCGTCCTCCAAGCACTAACCCCATGCCCGATGTACTAGCCAGATAACGCAGAACCCTCTTAGCGGCAGACCAGTGCTGCGGTCGGTGTCTGCCTGTGGCCACAAAGCGCGCCAGGATGCTGAGAGGGTATGCGAGATCTGGGCGAGTGCAAGTCATCAGGTACATGAGGCAACCCACCAGCTCTGCGTAGGGGCCGCTGGGCTCTACCAACTCCTCAGGTACTGGAGCGGAGAGTCTGTGGTCTACAGGCAGAGGGGTGGGCTGTGCAGAGGAGAACTGAAGGCTGAACCTCTGAAGGACCTGGCGCACCAAGTGTGACTGAGTCAGGGTGATGGTGCGCGCAGCTCTGTCCCTGGAGATCTGCAAGCCAAGGTAACGGCGCAGTTCTCCAAGGTCAGTGCACGTGTGTCTCTTCAGCAGCTCTGCCTTCACGGAGGCCAGTGTGTCCCTGTCTGCCGTGGCAAAGACCAGGTCGTCGACGTAAAGAAGGATGTAGAACGGAGTCTGGCCAGCACGAACGAAGAGTGAAGGGTCTGCGGAAGACGGAAAGAACTGCAGGTCAGCAAGGGTAGCACGGAGAGTGTCGTGCCACTCACGGGGAGCCTGGCGCAGGCCGTAGACGGGGCGCCGCAGGAGCCACTGGGTCCCAGGAGGGAAGGTGCCAGTAAAGCCCGGAGGGCGCCGCAGGTAGACCTGCTCGTGTAGGCTGCCCTGAAGGAAGGCAGTGGAGAAGTCGAGGGAGTGAAGCTCGTAGTCACGCTGAGCAGCTAGGTGTAACAGAACCCGAAGAGTAGTCATCTTCGGGGTCGGAGCGAAAGTCTGGAAGAAGTCCACCCCCTCGCGCTGACTGAAGCCTCTAGCCACATAGCGCGCCTTGAAGACAGGCGGCTCTCCAGGAGGGCGCTTCACCTTGAAGAGCCAGCGGCCATCGACTACGTTCACCCCAGGTGGGGGAACTGCGTCGACGAAGGTGCCGGTGGATCTCCAAGATGCCATCTCCTGCTCCATGGCAGCTATACACTGTGAGGCCCAGGGTCCGGAAGTCGCCTCAGCGTAAGTGCGAGGGGTCGGGATGTCGAAAGCGTCTGGGTCACCCTCAGGGACTAGCAGCATGGAACAGAGATGGGGAGCAGCCTCGGAGAGGAAAGCAAGCTCGAACTGGCGGTCCTCCAGGACGTCACTGCCAAGGGCAGGAGCACCCCCGACAGACGGAGGACAGGCAGGGTCAGAGACCAGAGCGGTGGCGTAGTCAAGGCGGCGGGTAGAGGCGAAGTCAGCGACAGCAGCGACAAGGGTGTCAAGGCACGGGACCGGAACAGACGGGTCGGTAACGAGAGAGGCAAGGACCCGAGGAACAACAGGACGAGCAGCATGAAGGTAGTCAGACAGCGCGGGGGGTGCAACAACAAGGGAGGACGGAGGAGGCGACGGCAGAAGGGGAGGGCGAGACGCGTGGGAACGAAGCAACATAGGGTGGGAGCGCAAGACAGGCGAGGCAGGACGAGCACGGGAGGGGCGGTGAGACCAGACGTGCGACGGAGGAGTCAGGTC